CCTTTTCGGTGGAGCAGCTCGAGCTCGCAAAAACGTCTTTGAAGGACGGGCTGGGGAATGGCCGAGGTGGTGACGGCATGGCGCACGGCGAGCATTGTGCACCAGACGCCGACGTGGAGGCTTACCTCGCGGAGCTTGTCGTCGGCAGTCACGAGAGGGCCGCCTGCGAAGGGCCAAGGTGCTTCTGCAAGCAGCATCCAAGGGTGTTCGGCGGCGCTGATATGGACGAGAAGCCCTGCGCAGCGAGGTGCTGCGCGTCTGCTCAAACGAACGGAAAGCGAGTCCGATCGGAGCAAGGAGAAAACTCCAGTGGCGCTGGGAAGGCGAGTGCGAAATCGGGCAAACGGAGAACCAAATCGTTCTGGGCGGCAAAAGGCATAGAGACGGAGGGTTCGAATGCTGCAACGGGCAGCGCGGGGAAGGCTGAGTCGGAAACAGCCGACGAGAAGGGGCGGGGAACGGAGAGCGCTCCCCAGGTCGATGATCGGAACGCGCTGTCAATTCCGGTGTGTAACATTTGCGTGTGCCCCTCGAACGTGTGCACACATGGTGCCTCCCGCGGTGCTGCGACGGTGTTGCCCATGGAAGCTGAGGGCGTGCAGCTGGAAGTGCCCAAGCTCGTTCGCCCGACGGACTCCTGGCAGGTTCACGACCCCGAGGTGTCGCTGCTGCGAAGGCCCGTTCGAGTGAGCGAGCTCACGGCCCGGGATTTCGAGGAGCTGAGCGCTGCCGAGAGTCTCTCCGCCCCGTGCCCGCGAGGGCCACCCCCTTGCAAGACCCAATGGTCGGGTTTGTGGCAGAATGCACAAATATACGACTTGTATTGGTCGCAAGAGGTAAGTTCACCATCGTGCACGCTTGTAATTGACCCTCTTGCAAAGATTGATTGAATGGCACAACGTCCAACGAACATATGAAAAGAATAAAAGAAACATTTTAGTCGAGGGAGATGCTTGACGCAGATTAAATCCGTGTGATGTTGAGTCACTTCTGATCGCGAGTCAGACTAGAGCTCTCAGCCATGCTTCTAAGCGAAGCTGTCAATCATCAGACGGCACCTTGGTCTCTGTTTTTGTGCAGGTCAAGCTCCGGATCTACTGCTGCGCATGCCCCAAGAAGCATACCGTTCATTTCAATGGGGAGGCCCTCGGCTTGTACGCTTGGACGCGCGGGATGGTCATCACGCAAAAAGCCTGTCAGATACTGCTACGAGACGTTCAGAATACGGGTGCTGCTTTCAGCTCGCTCGTTGCAGCTGCAAGCACTGTGCGGCGTCAATTCAACCCCGATGCAACCATCTTGTCAGAGGAGTGTTGGCGTAAGGCAACCCTTGGCTTCTTCAAGCTGTGTGGGCGGCAGATCATGGAGTGTTGTAGTCTCTGCGGACCACATCCAGAGGTGAGTTTTGCATCACTCATCACTGGAGTTCTTGGGCACCTTTAAGCATTGCTGACGTCATCACATGCGGACCCATCTCGGCATGTCCGATTGTCCAAAGTCTGGCACCCACGTTTTGCAATCACTCGTTGCTAACGTCATCACAACCCCAAGGCAGTCTTGCCGCCGTGTCCAAGTGTCCAAGCTCTGGCACCAACTTTTTGCGGTCGCTTATTGCTGACGTCATCAGAGCATGGGCACCTAAGTTATATGAAGTTCACCCTTTCAAGAGCACTGGATCATCTTTTTTGTGAAGGTGCTTCTATGCGACGGCATCGCGGGGCTTGCTTGCGCTGACGGCACGCGTCAGAAGGGTGGGCTTGCTGGAACGGATGCCGCCTTGCTTCGGCCATTCACGGCGCCTAGTCGGAGCTCTAATGGAGTCAACGTGCGGAAAGTCATGGAGGCCGGAAGCAACTACCTGGCGGCGTCTCTTGCGGGAGGAGGCCTGAAAAAGCGTCTCCTGCATCAACCCGAGCTTCGGACGCTTCTAGCGCGGTTCAGCGGACACCATGCTGCTGACCCGGAGCTGGGGAAGACGCTGAGTACACGAGAATACGAGGAGCTCCTGGTACGTTTTGACTCCAGCCCGTTCTCTGCTTGCGGTAGGCCGGATGTTTGAGAGAGGCCGGGTCACTGCCAGTCAAAAGGCGCCCCTCATTTTATAGAGAGAAGGAGGGCCGTTCTGACTGCCGTGGCCGAGTGTTTGCCAAGAGGCATTACTTCTACCTAAGGATTTGCCGGAAGGGCTACATGCCAGCGCTCTGCTATGGATTTGATCGAGATGCAAGCATGGTTTTTTCCTCCCGCAACCTTGTCGGATTGTCAACGCGTTGCAACACATCCCTCTGGTAAACGGGTTCAGTCAAAAGTCGCCCATCATATTCTAGAGGAATGGATGCGACATTTGACTGTAGTATTTCAGTTCGTTAGATCCAAAAGAAGAACTACAGTGCTCATGCACGCTCGCTTCGAGCAGCTAACCTGAACTGGCGTCTTTGTGCAGGTCGCGCTTGCCAGGGACGATGTGCAAGTCGTCACGGACTTTGTGCAGGATCCAGATGATGCCGATGCAGACCCGGTGCTCTTGCACTGGCGCCGACAGATTCCAGCCCATCAGGTCGGCCAGGTTCGGTCGAAGAACAAAGCGGTGCTCGAGCTGCTCGACGGCAACGAAAGAGAAGTGATGCAAGACGAGCCTCAATGGCCTCCCCGCTGCCCCCACAGATGGGCGGAATTACTCTACACTCTAGGCGCACCGTTCTCGGTCTCGGACGACTCCAATCTCATCCAGCATGGAAAGGCCCTGGGGGTGGTCCGCAAGCTTCTGCTAGGGGGAGCCGCAAACGACGACGACAGAGTCGTGCTCGCCGAGCATTCACCAATCCTGCGCCGGCTGCTAGACCACTACGGCGACCGCTTTCCCCGGTACTTCCATCCCGCGCTACACCATCTCTACCGTTTGACGCTGTTTGCGCGGGGGGCGATGGGGCTTGGGGTGGGGCGAGCGGGGTGGGCGTTGTCGGCCATCGAAGGCCTCGATGTCTGCGTGTGGCTGGAGCGGGAGCCGAAACCCCTGAGCCTCGAGCAGCAGCAAGCCTTCGAC